ACCACCACCACCGCCACCACCACCACTACCACTACCACCACCGCCGCCACCACCACTACCACTACCACTACCCTTACCACTACCAAGGTTAAGGCCACGGGGTGGCCCAAGCGGACCAATAGGCGGACCGATGAGACCATTCGGCGAACCACTGAGACCATGGAATAGGAGAATGGGACCAATGATTGGTCCAATGGGGCCAGTGGGTGGGCCAATGGGATTAGGAGGCGGACTGATCGGACCGTGGGGTAGGCTCCTTTGACCCACAAATTTTTTGGGCTGACCACGTAGGCAGGTGATCAAGAGAGGTTGATTTTTAAGCATTTTCGAGAATTGTAATTGACAATTTCTCTACTTGTGATGTAATAAATAATAAATGCTGTTCCGTCAAGAAAAAAGTTAGCAAGATCGCGGAGAACAGTGGTCAATGATGAGAGTGTTTTATTATGAGCACACCAAGGTCATTGACAGCGCTAGAATGTCAGGAATTAAGCGCCTCTACTTCTATCAAATATAATCGTCCTAAGCCCTAAATGAAAATTGTTTACGCACGCTGCGCCCCTTGTAGGCGAACTGTACGTAGCTTTCGCCACTCGGATCTCCTCACAAACTTCATTCTCGAAAAAAAATCATATGAAAGATATGAATCTGAAAACTGCATGGGAGCAAACCGCGGGCCAACAAAGTAAATGCGGAGGGAAGGAACTCCCGAACGATCGCATCTAAAAATATAGACGACCCTCCGGTGCGTGTCGCGCGCGCGGCTCTGTTCTGACGTGATCCTAAATAGCTTAAAACATATTGTTTGTATTTGTTGAAAAGAAGAAAGTTTTCTACTCAACTGCTGTTCTTGTTCTATAAAGTGAAGAGCATAGTAACGGAAACAAACTCCTAAGCGAGTCCTTTCGGATCTGCGTGATAGCTCCCAGGAGAACAATTCATAAAAATTTTGGCCTTCTAAAATCTGATCCTGGATTCTGATTTTATAATAGCTTTGTGCAACCATACGAAAAGCAAAATAATTAAAAATCCAAAAAGATGGGAGCATTTTCAACCCATGTAAAAGGTGAAAATGGGGTTTATGCTGGGGAAGCGGGGCTCCCAAGTTCATTTCTCAAAGGCGAATAGCAGTCTACCCCGCTTGAGGTGGAATACTAAGTCTTCAGAGTGTATACCAAATTCGGCAGAGAAGATATGTACCTGCGCGGACCAAGTCGTAAAATCGTTAGCTAGTAGCTACGCCTTTTCCTTAAATGCTTTCTGCGCCCTTTATATGCTTTCTGTACCACATTTTCTCGATCGCGAACGTCCGATTAGGGTTGTCAAGCGTGCGTACGATTCGATGTTCATGGCCAAGTGCGTGTTGACGAGACACCTACTCCGCCAAAGCCTCTGTTGACGCATGTTCCAAGGAACAGTTCTTCTCCAGTTTAGAAGTGGCATGAAGCGGGCCGTGCTTTCCTGTCTCGGCCAGTCCGATGACGTCGTACTTGATCTTCTTGGCTTCCATCATCAGACCATTGATGCCGCTTCCGATGCCTCATTTGTGCATTGAAAGTACAGATCGCCATCTTAGTCCTTCTCCTTTCAGGCAGCTTGTCGTGGCCCTGCGATTTTAGCAGCCTCTGCCGAGCAGTATTGGCCCTCAACGCTGCCGTATCAGGGACCCCCTAAGCTTCGGGGGAATGAGGCCCATTTTTATTAGTGTTTCTGGCATATGAATAACCTCGTATAGCTTGCCAGGCTCTAACACGTGGGGGGCCCACCCTCAGCCGTGCAGACGTGCCGTTAAAGTTATACACATATATTTTAATTTAAATATAATTAAAAAAAGATAGTGAAAAATAATGAAAGCTCTGAGCGAAATTCCACCAAACCGTAGGAAAACGTTGGCGAGTTCCTTCGGACCATGCTAGCCGACAACTGATGGTAAGACGAAAGCATGTGGCAGGGCAAGAGGTTGCCTCCTTTTTTGGTAAGCAGATATTTCCCCTAACGAATCCTTGTCCTTAGTTCAAAACGCAGTGATTTTTGCGTGTTGTACCGGGACTTGCTGTGTGCAACGTAACGCGTGAAGAACGAATTCAACCGCGACCTCGAGCGGACGGATAAGGGGGACTCAAGCAAGGGGGCCGCCATCCCTCCAGTTCCACGACAACTACCTAACCACAGCTTCGAACGCGAAGAGGCGAGCCGGTCAATATGAAGCCTCGCATAACTAGAAATTGCCGGAACTTTGCATTGGAGCACACGACGAAATTCTAAAAAAAATCACAAAACTCGGTTTTTTTT